TAATAAGCAAACGCGGTACAATGTTACATTGTGTGCAAATAATTATCATATACATCAGATCAGACGTTTATTATTATCTACGTATTCTGTGACTTGTACTATTTCTCAGATAACAATTTAATTTAACTTATGAATCTATTCTCTTGAAATGCTTAATACTATTATTTTGGGCGTACAATATCGGCAGAAATCAGTGTAATTTAATGTAACTTATGAATCTATTCTCTTGAAATGTTTAATACTATTATTTTGGGCGTACAATATCGGCAGAAATCAGTGTAATTTAGAGTAATTTACAATTTAGAGTAATTGAACGTGCGATCGCTTTTTTACATTCTTGTAAACTTACCGAAATCTGCGGGATTGTAATGTCTCGGACATTTTATGTCCACGCTTTGTAGATATGGCACTAGGTTGCTCGCACTGCCTCTGTACATGCATTGTCCTGCAGTGATGACGTAGACGTGGTCAAATTTTTGAAATATTTTCGCGCTGGGGGTGTGTATCGAACATATGACAGTATGTCCAATATGCGCCAATTTTTGTAGAAGCTCGATACATTGAGAAGAAGACAGTTCATCCAAACCACTGAAAGAAAGTTCAATCAACAATATATTTACGTTTATAATATGCTTCGAAAATTAACGTGCGAGGGAACATTATGTAGCTTACTGTCATCGAAAGAAAATAACACAGGTCGACAAAATTTTTACCCAGAAACCAGACTATACTTTCCCGAAAGTTTTCGGTGTGCTGAATTCAAATCTCGCCGCGGAATTGCTCTATCACATCAGAATTTTGAGATATTCTAACCTAAAAGTGCAAAAAATGCCGTTTTTGCCTACTTTTGTGGTTATGTATGCAAGCCAGAGTAATTTTTCTCAAAAAAGTAAAAAAAATGTATTAAAGTACAAGTCTTCTTCTTTCAAATGGCGTTGAGTTTGCTTAAATATCATAATTATGAATTTTCCGGATGTTAGTGACGTTTCCTAGCCTTCCAATCTCGAATTTCGGATTCAGTGGGTCAAAATATATAAAAATAACCTTGTTGAATCCATGAACAGAAAGTGCTGCGGATAGTACACATGGCCGCTATCTTACTTTCATGATTTTCAAGATATAGGAAAATTTGAAAATTCGTAAAATTAAAATTGTAATATCTCAGCGAAGCAAAAAGATATTTAAGCAAACTCAACGCCATTTGAAAGAGGAAAACTTGTATTTTAATACCTTTTTTTTACTTTTTTGAGAAAAATTACTCTGGCTTGCATACATAACCGCAAAAGTGGGCAAAAACGGCATTTTTTGCACTTTTAGGTTAGAATATCTCAAAATGCTGATGTGATAGAGCAATTCTGCGGGCAGATTTGAACTCAGTGCACCGAAAACTTTCGGGAAAGTATAGTCTGGTTTCTGGGTAAGGAGGTTGGTCTCATTTTGTCGGCCTGTGTAATTGTAACGTTTTATTTTATGACGGGTGCGTTTCGCGATTGTTTGGGATATTTTCTTAATACCTTTCAAATGCGAGAGACAATGTTGAAACATGTCTTCATATACCTATCGAATGTATCACTTATTATAAAATATTTGCCTTTTGTCTATATGTGAATATTCGCGCGTGTATTTATCTCTATTAGAGAATTCTTCACACTTTTAACATGTTTCGATAAACAGTCGTCCTCTTACGTATTCTTAAAAATAATATTATGTGACAAATTCTTAATTTCTTATACATTCCCTTCATTATAAATGTATAATGATACGTAAGTGCGCAGTGCTAATGGTCTTGAAAAATGAATCTTTCCAAAATGTTGACTGCGTAAAAGGAGAAATAGATACAAAGAACAGCAGAGAAGATGCAGAAAATACACAGAGAGATCTCGATCAACTTTTTCTTTTTATATCGAAGAGCGTGTAGACTTTTCATCGGAATAAGAAAAAAAAGCTTATAAAGATCAAAAAGTCACTAGACCATTAAAAAATATATTAACTTTTTTGCTATTAATTTTTTGAAATTTTATTTTTCACATTATACGTATTCCTTGGAAAATATTTATGGAGAAATTCATGACAGAGTAACGAATAAAAATAATCCAATTTTATATACAAAATCAATCAATTGTGCTATCTCAAAAAGCTTACATTANTTCACGACGGAGCAACGAATAAAAATAATCCAATTTTATCTACAAAATCAACGATCAATTGTACTAACTCAAAAAGCTTACATTCGTCATTTTCGGGTCAGATAACCACCATCTAAATAAGTTGAATATCGCTTGTTTAGATGGTAGTTGTCTGACTCAAAAATGACGAGTGAAAGCTCTTTGTAAGTAACATATATAACACCGAGATGGAAGATGAAAATAATCAAATATAGAAATTAGAACGATAAAATTTTAAAATTAATACGATGGATAACCACTTGTNATTCACGACGGAGCAACGAATAAAAATAATCCAATTTTATCTACAAAATCAACGATCAATTGTACTAACTCAAAAAGCTTACATTCGTCATTTTCGGGTCAGATAACCACCATCTAAATAAGTTGAATATCGCTTGTTTAGATGGTAGTTGTCTGACTCAAAAATGACGAGTGAAAGCTCTTTGTAAGTAACATATATAACACCGAGATGGAAGGTGAAAAATAATCAAATATAGAAATTAGAACGATAAAATTGTAAAATTAATACGATAGATAACCACTTGCTTGTAAGCGTGGTTCTTAAATGCATCAAAAATTGGCGAAAAACACTTGTAATATTGTGTACTATTAACATTACATTATGTGAAACAGCAATCACATTTGCTGAAACTAAGGAAAGCCCGATTACTCCTAAATGAAAACATGTAGCCATTAAGTTTTTCAAGCTTAATCTAGTGTAATACATTATTAGAAACATAGTTTTGACAAGTATCTGACCATTGCAACATACTGACACTGAAAAAATTGAAAATCCTCAACGCGTGGTCACATTTCAGATTTTGGTCTGTGTCATACGACAGTGGAGATATTTCCATTTTATGCCTATTGAGATTTTGTTTAACTTTTATATAGAACTATCAAATGGCACAATTAATTTTTCTGCGAACTTATAAGCAACTTTAGATAAAGTTACTTGCATTTTGTGCACTTACCTGGTCGGTTCGTCAAGAAAGATAATCGGTGGATTATTTACTAGTTCGAGAGCGATCATTAGCCTTTTCTTTTCGCCACCGGACAGTTTCTCCGAGGTTGTGTTTCGTGAAGCAGACAATCTGAGAGTATCCAGAATCTCGTCTATCTAAAAGATATTTCTTTGATTTACGCGTGGCGAAAAATGTATAAATATTTAACAGTACAGCTGTTGGTGCGAGACAATCTTGGATATTATAAAACGTAAAAGTAAAGTAAAAGAAAGAAAGGATGAGGAGCATATTACGCATTTATGTATTGACTAGTGGTGTACTTACGATAACGCATTTCTCAAATCGGGATTTGTTTTTGCCAAGTTTCAGGTCGGCGGCGAATGTCATTGCTTCAATGACCGTCAGGTTCGGCTGCACAACATTTTCTTGCATGACGTAACACGATATCTTCCTGAATTCCCGAACATCTCGTGGTTGTCCATTGATACTTATAGAGCCACTTACGTCCGTGCATCTTTAATTAAATTACAACCGTAAAATTAATTAAATCATTACCCAGACAGCACACGGCGTTCTCAGACTCATTCTGAATATGTTCAGAATATTCTTTGGGATATTTTCAGGATATTTAGTTGTATTTTATACACATATATGTTAATATTTTATACAAATATTTTATATGCATATTTATTCTATATTCCATAAGTAAATATGAAATATCTCTGGGACTTCTCTATAATGTCTTTTGAACATTTGTGCTGTATGGGTGATTATTTAGTCAGTATGTCATATGTCGAGATTAGTGATTCTCAAAGTTTACGTTATACTTTTTAAACATTTCACATATAACATATGCATGTCTGTAAGAAATAATATACCAGAATTGTTGATGTAATTCAATTTCGACTATTGATATAATACTCTACGATATCATTTGTATAAAACAATTCATCCTTACGACTATCGCATACAAATTGACATATCTGCATATGTATAGTATGAAACTGTCTGGACCAATGAGCATCTAGCATAAAATAGTCGATTGGTTTACAAAATATGCTTATTGGTCGAGAAGGTTTTATATTACCATATCATGTACAGGATGTTGCATCAACATACGACCCTTTATGACGGGTTGCTTGCCCGAAGGCGCGCGCATCCAAATGATAATTTCGGAGTTTTCCTTATAGTCATACGTTTCCAACGCAGTTATAGCGTTTATAATTATCATCTTAATTATGTAGCATAAGATAACACATATAATAATTTTATGTTTAGTCTTTCCTTCCTTGACGGTCGGTATATAAAGCAGTCGGCATATTGCGTTTGTATACAAAAGCGGCGTTATCTACAATACCAACCGCGTTAACATTAACCGCGAAAACCGGCGCAGTAAGCTGACAGCGAAGCGGCGTGGTCTACTGTAATCGATACCCGACTCGCCGACGTCTTTGAGGTTCACCGATCTCTAGATATAAAAGGCAGACGTTGAACAGCTAGCAGTTCAGTTTTTCGAGAAACCTGCGAGAGTAACTTCGTGAGATAAACTGTACTGTGTTCTATTAAATATTTTTATAAGACCAAGACTCAATCCGAAGCGTCAAAACTCGATCATCTTTACACCTAATAAACTACACCTATAATTATCATAATAAAAAAAAAGGTGCTAGTGACTATATCGAAAAATTCGAAATTGCCATCTGGACGCGCTCGCCTTTGGGCAGGCAACCCGTCCTACAATGGGTCATGTGTGATGCAACACCCTGTGTGCAGCTTTGCCATTTTATGTATATCCTTAGACAGCTTTGCCATTTTATGTATATCCTTAGACAGTCCATAAATTTGCAATATATAAATAGCTACTTGAATGAAAATAGCTGCTTGTTGTCGATTAATCGCACAGAAATAAAATGGCCGAATAAGTTGCAAAAATAATGAATTCGTTTGGTCGATAAAAAAGGAAAGAAAGAAGAAAAGAATTAACATATCAGAATATGATTATTTAACTCACTTATAACCCGTAAGGATATTAAGAAGCGTCGATTTTCCAGCACCAGAAGGACCTAGTATTGCCGTTAATTCGCCTGACTTGAACTGTCCGCTGACCCCTCGTAGAATTAATTTTGATTCTGTAAATTAAGCGGAAATATTTCGCTGCATATGGACGGATATATTCGTTATAGAAAAATATCTCTCTGTCGCATGTGCCATATATTTTCGTCGCAGAAAATCGTTCTTCATTTGTGTACGACGGATGTCGATACGACGCGCCGCGGCAGCGCAACGACCGTAAAATTAACCGGATTGCCGCCTGCAAAATCACGTATGAGAATGTGAGAGTCCGTCGCGCCAACTCGGACCTATTGCTCAATATATTAATGCAGCCCGTACGCTGTCGGAATTTTTTAAAATAATACAAGATTGTGGTATGCCTAGCATTACTAATTAAACGTTTCTGTCTACTGAATTAACATA